TCCGATTTATAGGGACGGCTAGCCAACCACTCCTACAAATCAACGATTTATAGCATTGCTATGATAGAGACGGTTGGCAAAACCACCCCCTACAAATGGTCTTCCGCCACCCTACAAAAGCTTAATGTAGTAGTGAAATGACTTCACATAAGCGGCCAACCGGAAAGGCTATCAAACAATTACAAGGAAATAAGATGGTTAATACACTAGAACTAAGAGCACGAATACCATAATGATTTTTAGTTTTACTTAAAAGTTCCAAATAGTGATTGCAAAGTTGTTAAACTTGATGTTGCGACATTCCAGAAAACAGTGCATTCTTAAAGTTACTTAATACTCCGGCTGAGAAGCACGAAGAGCAACACCAAAGCCATAGCTTAGGCAGACGACAGCACCACTGGCGCCCTGTTCGTTTGTGCTCTTGTTTGGCTTATAAGGCATGGCTAAAAGTACTGTTGGTTTATTTAATGTGAGAGAAAAATATTATTCGTTGACTGATAAGCTATGACTTATAAACCAAATACGACCAGACGAAGATGCTGTAGATCGGTACACCATCCCATCGCCTGCGCTTCTGAACTGCAAGAAAAGCATACAAGCAGTGTGGCCTAAGAATCTTTTTAACGAGAGATGACAGTATAGGCACATATACACGTAGAAAAAACTTCAGCGAACATCATCGATGTTACTTAAATTCAACCACAACCAACTAAGTTTCCTAATTATTGTCATTATTAAGGGTCCGAAACACTCGCTACAAATATCATGCGACCACAGAATCATGAAAATTAATTAATATTCTGACCAGTAGGTCAGTAGGTGTGCGAGGATGTGTGCTCCAAAGCACCTAGAGTGCTCCGGTGCTCCCGACCACAAGATACACCATCAAATATATACGACAAATTCCAATAAAAATACGAATGAATAGATCACACAATCGTCTATGTATATATGAAATTTTAGTTTGAATAAAAATCTATGTAAGGAGAAAAAAAAAGAGAAATCATGATATGAATAGTTGCGTTACGCAGGATTTTGTTCGAGCTCAAATTTCATATATACATAGATTGCGTGATCTATTTATTCATATTTTTGTTAGATTTTTAATACATATTTAATGATGTATCTTGTGGTCGGTGCATTAGAAATAACCTCCATACGAAACTCTGGAGCTCCACCCGATTTATGCATAGCTCTACATAATTTCCACGTGCAGTCCAAAGAATGAACACACAAAACACTATCCAAGACTTACGTCACCAAAATTCCTGGTTGTTCGAGGCCTCTTTGGATCATTCACAGCATGAGCAGTACATCGGTGAGACTCCTGAGACCTCCAGCGCATCATGGCTGCCAAAAACAAAACAAAAAAAATAACTTGATGGCGACATTTGTAGTAGGCTACCAGAGTTAGTAACACATTTAAACAATAGCAATTTGAGGGGGGCAAAGGAACACGCAACTTCCCCCTCCTAACCAATGGAATTAATCAGAACTGCAATGATGCAGCTAAATTTGGACTGTATAAAACAGTGTAAATTACCTTGCTTGGTTGCATATTCAAGTTGATGTCCTTATTTGCTGAAGGGGTCTGGTTTGGCTTTAACAGTCAGTGCAGCCTCCGGTGGAAAAACTGCGGAGAAACAAAACTATCAGCTATCAGAAACTGCAGCTTGTTTTCACCTACAGAAATCAATAATATTTTACCTTCTTTGGACACCATTTGCCTACCAGCTTGCAAAGCTTTATCCGAAAATCATGTGAGTTTTCCAGTCATCATGCAAATACAAAACAATACAAAATTCATGTGGTTTTACGTACTAATGGAACTCCGCAACACATTTGGGGGCGTTCTAGTTATGCTAGCTTGCAATCATGGAAGATCAAATCTAACTAGCATGGGTGTCTCCAACTTCACACAGAAGAGCGTGCAAGTTTTCCAGTAAGACACATACATGAATTCCAAGAGATTCTGCCAAGCAATGGAACAGTGTAACAGATTTTGCGCTGTTCTATCTATGCAAGCTTGCACGCATGGAAGAACCAAAGAAATTATTACGCACATGGGCGTTTTATGCTACCAAATCATAATATCGATTAGCGCAATAAATGTGCAGACACAGGTGCAACAAAACAAGATAGAAAAGAGCATTACTCCCCAAAACAGGACATGCTAAGACACCATGGACATGTCAAAGAACACAAATTAAAAGCACGAACAACTGGCAAAGTAGCTTCACATACCAAGTAGTGAAATCAGAATCTCCCCACCACCCCTTTTTGATCCTGCTGTTGAAAAGCTCATTCATTAATCATTGTGTCTGTATGTTATGAATCAAGGGCTAAACATGTTCTTAAGATCATGTGTATTGTGCTAAAAAGGATGGGACTATCTAGAGATATCCAGTAACATTGCAATTTGCAATACCTGAATCAGCATGAGTTTCTGGCTGACTTGAAGAAGGCAGCCTGCACAAACAAACATGTGTGAGTGTAAAATAAGCAGAAAAAAACAGCAAGAGTTTCAATTAATATGCATGTTGTACCTCTTCTTCAGCTGAAGATAGAACTGGGCAAGTTCTGTTGATTGTTTCTGGCCTAAGTTCTTCACTTGACGCCTTTGACGAAAGCTATCAAGATCAGATCACATAACCCGCAAGTCAGACGGTTAATACTGGAAAGTGCAAGTGACACCAGGCTGGAAGAAGCTTGCGACCGTGTGATGTGCGTATATATGTGTGTACCTGGACCTAACGGGCATTACGCCGTACAGGTCGTTCTGGCCACGCGGGTAACGCATCATGTCCTTGAGCTCGGGTGTCTTGTACTCTTGTTGGCCATCTCCTCGACCATCTCTGCTGCCTTGTTCCTGACCAGTTGCCAATCCAGGGAGTTCCTGCAGCAGGAGTAACACCAGGAAGTAAGCATGCGCCACATCGATGCACTGATCAGTCGAACAAATGTGTAGGTACCTGAGGCCTCGAACAAACGTGTAGGTACCTGAGGTGCTGTGCGCGCAGGAAGAGGACATCGGCAACGATGGTGGCGAAGAAGGGGTACTTGTCGAGCACAGGATGCCTGTAGATCCTTCTGAACCAGTCGCAGACGATGCCTGCCACCATGGTGTTGCCGTCCGTGAAGCCACTGATGGCCATGAGGTGTTCGAGGAAGAAGGAAAGAAAGTCGGCCTCCTTGCTCGATTGCGTGATGGGAGCGAAGTTGCGGACGTAGTGGAACGCCTCCCGCCACTGTCCTGCCTTGACCTACTCCACCAAATCCTCCGTGTGGAAGATCACAAGCATCTTCTCTTTCGCCCTGCGATGTTAATACACAAGAGGAACAATCAATCACACGAACGACGGCATGGACGAGGGGTCGGGTCGGGCGAACAAAAGAGGGTTTTCACGGGACATACACATCGTAGGTCTGATCGCACCAGTACTCCCGGAGGTAGGCGAGAAGGCGGCGGAGACGGAGGCGCTCCGTTCAAGGATAATCCAGGGAGAACAGCAGGTCGTGCTTGCGCTTGCCCTTGCCGGAGACCGCCACCGCACCGCCGCCCTCTCCGGAGACCGCCTCCGCCGCGAGGCCGCCCTCGCCGGAGACAGCCTCCCCGCAAGGCCGCTCTCGCCGGAGGCGGCCACCACCGCTCGCTCACCCTCGCCTGAGACGGCCACCTCCGCTCGCTCGCCTTCGCAGGACAGCCCTCGCCGGAGCTCCTCATCGCTCTCAGGAAGATGTTGATTCCCGCAACTCAAATCAGGCCCCGGCGCAATCTGCGTTTCGTGCGGGGGGTTGATGCGGAGGAGGGTTTCGGAGAGGTGGCCGGGCGAGGAGGGACGGGATCAGCATATTTGGAGGAGGAATCAGGACGGTGGGCGAGGGCGAGGGGCGAGGCGAGTGCGAGTGCGAGGGCGGAATAAAATTGTGTGGACCATGGGTCCAAAGCCCCGTAAGGGCGCTCCTATCGCATGGATGGCTGCCGTGTGGCGCCTCAGAAGTCAGAAAATCTGACGGGACAGGAGGTGCCGAACTGGGAGAAGAAGACTCGAAACCGACTCTGTGGGAACGCACGTATGTGGCTGGAGCCAAGCGAGATTGCGAGAAGCGCGTCGGATCGGTTGTCATAGCAAGCAAGAAGTTTGGGAAAAAAAAATAGATGATGCCAAGAAACGAAGTGATGCACAGCAAAACACAGCTCCGATGATCACAAATCCCCTTCATTTGGATCCATGCAAGATGCAACAAGGTCGTGCAATTGTGAATTTGTGATCAACAGCTTGTGCGATAAGAAATTGAAGGGACATAAAAAGTTTGGCACAAATTTCGAAATTACAGATGATGCCACCCACCTCTAGTTAGATGTGAATAGTGCAACAACGCAAGGAATTAATTGACCCAGCATGTGATATTTTTCAGAGTAATTAGTGCAATCACATAAAGGGAATGTAATTAGCCGCTAACAACCGTGGAAGGTACTATAGCTCAAGGCTGGAGAGTGAAAGGCCATCACCCATCAGAGGCAACTCAGGCAAGTATAGTGCAAGGCCATCAGATGTGAAGATTGTGCAAGGCCACGGCGCGAGAAACGATCACCCATCAGATGACTTTGCTTGTAATTGTAGCAGGTCCAGGTGCATAGAATGGCATGTACATAGTGAAGATAGAATATTTCAGAATGCACTTCTCCTTTAGAATGAGGGCGTATTTTGGTGGGCATAGCAAAAAAATCAACAGTATACAGAACTATGAAGAGAATGCAGGATTTGCTGTTACTCAACAGTTACAAAGCTTATATTAAACTCACTGCTGCCAGGGTAAACTAACTCGCTATGGTCTGAACCTACCGACTAGAATACTCATAAGCCAATAAATATTAACAGAAGACAAGATTAGCTATCCGGAACATCTCAGCTGCAGAAACCGTAAGAACCAGGAATGCATATCTGGTGAAAGTGTGAAACGGTTCTAGCCTACTTTCAACTTGAGATGCTCCATCATCAGCGGGAAAATTTTCGCCTTTTATTGAGACTTGCTAGCATGTCAGAGTAAGACTGCAGGTTCACATCAACATCTTCATCGTACTCGAGACCAAGTTCTTCCTGCAGTACATATTGTTCATCAGCATCATGTGGTCGTCACAAATAGAAAACAATAGAAAATGTAAATGAAAAGCAACTGTGATAGCTAAAAGAACTAGTATCAGTTAAAGTCTACCATCGATGTGGTAAATGCTTGATCAAAGCATATACTAGGTCTTAAGGTCAGTCAAAGGCATTTGTGTGTGTGTTGGGGGGGGGGGGGCATGCAGCAAAAACCTTAAATTCCTTCTGATCCTTTGGGCTATTCTCAGTAATATTATCCCAAAGCTCCTTGAACATCCTCTTCCGCCTTTTCCATTGGCTAACTTTCTCAGCAAAGGAATTCTCAATGATCTTCCTGTCTTCAGGTTTCACCAAGGTAACACCACTCCGCAATTTATTTAGTTTCTCTTCCATTTCCTGGACCTGAACAAATATGGGTCCTGCAATTAATACTAGTCCAAAGGAACACAGACACATAATAAAATGTGCTTACAAGGAAACAAATTTTAAACAGATGAGTCAGCTTATATTGAAAACAAATAAGCTTCGTAGAAGAGAACATTTTTTATGCACCTACTTCGCTTTGTAATTTAGTCTCCTTTGACGTAATCTCTGCCAGCGTCAAGTTTGACTGCAGACCTCGTACCTCTGTAGAAGATTTATATTTAGATGTTTTTGAAATATGATCTTGTTTACTGCATGTGGTGGACCACTAGCAAGACCATGGTACCAGTTTGAAGTTTGGAACTCACCAGATTCAACCTCACTAATTGCTTTCTTTTGATCCGCAAGTTCTTCCTGTAACTTGGCATTTCTTTTCTTCATCTCCTCAAGTTCTTCGCTATTTGGAATTTCAAATTGATCTTGCCGAGCAATGTAAATTTTCTGCTTGCCATACTCCTTGAAGGAAATCTGTCCACTGTCAGCCAATGCATCCAGTGCCTTTTGTACTGCAGTCTTCTTAAGATTAAACTTCTGTAGTGCATCAGCTGCATTCTGTGAATTCAATGGCCTGTTTTGCTGCAGAGTCATGGTAAAGTCAACTATATGGTGCTCAGAGCTTAGAAGAACAAAATACTCGAAGCTGAGCAAACAGTGTGGTACTCCCTCCATTCCAAAATGTAATATATTAGTTTTGCACAAGTCAAACTTCTCTAGCTTTGACCTGATTTATTGAAACCGTATTAACCTCTACAGAACCAAACAATTGCAATATCAAGTATTTCTTGGTGGATTTAATGAAGCTAATTTGATGCTGTAGATATTGATGCATTTTTCTATAAACTTGGTCAAAGTTTGATAAGTTTGACATAGGATAAAATTAAAACATTTCATATTTTGGAATAGCGGGAGTAATTATTTTTTTATCCAGCATAAAATTGAAGAACTGTGTACAAAACCCTTTCTGAATAACCTCATTTCATAGCGACAGTCACATACACTATTTAGGTACATCAGTATACTGAGTTAATTTCACCTAAATTAGGCAAGAGCGGTATCTGAAGGAAAAAGACAGTATACTTCCTCCCCGTCTTAATGGAATTCAGAAGGAGACTGCACTTTAGAAACATAAATAAAACTCTTAAGGAAAAAAACAACCTGCAGTAATATCTCTGCCTTCTCTGGCATGGAAGCAGAAACAACCTAAACTGAACAGCAAAAGCAAAAACTGATCTGCAACAGCATTGTACTTTTTGCATTTGTAAGCTCTTGTGCATCATAAACTCTAAGCTCAGAGAGTACAGTTGAAATAGAGCCTGATTAATTATCTTACACAAAGGGCAGACTCAAACCGTAGTTAAAGTAGCACCGAGAGGAGTCAACATTCAACTGAAATTAATCTAAACTTTTGTTCTATTCAAGGGATTAGCTTAAAATTCATATTCTGGCCACAGAATGGATTACACACTACCAAGTTATCTAGCTACATTTCAGCAGGTGATTGCAAGTAGCTGCTAAAATGGAGGACGACTGCAATTACGATCATTCAGAATAATGATCAGTGACAAGGTGATGCCAGTTGCAACAAACATACACCGATTAATCAGAATGGTGACCAGGGTTTTCATATGATACTAATTAACTCCACCTGAACCTACAGAAAGGCAGTATGGACGATGACCAGTATTCATCAAACAGCATGATGCCATCAAGCACAATCAATACACCTTGCCATATTAATCCAGTCAATTTTGTCGCATCCATACAATCCTAATTCCTAACGATTTCTGAATAATTCTTATACAGCTCAACACTCCATAAGTACCACACGGAGGGAGAACCGAATCCTAATCGCGCAAGCAGAAGCAGGGGGGTTAGGGTTTAGGGTAGGGTTCAGGGGAGAGAGACACCGCACCTCGTTGACGAAACCCAGGACGATTCCTGCAAAAACGATAGAAGAAGAAACGGCACCGTAAAATCATCAGAAAACCTGATCAGGCCGAGCGAAGGAATGAATCGGTAAGTTTTTCAGCCAAAAAAAGAAAAGAAAAGAGAAGAAGAAGAAGAAAAAGAAGAAGAAAAAAGGGGACCAATACCATTTCGGTTGGGAGGGGTAAGAGTGAATACCTTCAACGCTATCGGATTTAGGCGGCATGCCTCCTCAACCGCCCGCCACGCCGGCGTGGCTTTGCTTGCTGCAGCTCGGCCTTGGCAATTTGAACGAGACGAAGGGGAAAAGTGGTGGCGAAGGCGAGCGCCGGTAGGTAGATGGATTGTTAGGGAAGCGAAAGGGGGCAGCTGTCTTGTACCCAAAACAAACGCGCTACCAAGCTGCGCTACGTCCTTTTCCAAATTGTTGTACAATGCCATTGTACGTAATTCCTTTCTTATTTTCCACGTCATAATTTTCTTCTATTTCTTTATTCATATAGAACTTTCTTGTTATTTCTTGTTTTGGTCTCATATAATCAAGGAAGAGTATAAACTAAAATCCAGTCAAATTTCACCTATATAGTAACGTATAGGAAGAAGGGGTCATCTTTTTTAGGGATAGGAAAATCTCGTCTATACGGTTCATTCTATATATATAGAATATTTATTTTGTTTTTTTAGTTAGGAATTTCGCCTAAACAAAAGAAATACAAAGAATCTTGGGCAAGAGTATCTGATCATATATGTATTCCAATATGGAAGGAGGATTTTTAATGCTGGATATAAAAACATATCTCTCTGTAGCACCCGTGCTAAGTACTCTATGGCTTGGGGCTTTAGCAGGTTTATTGCGTGGCCCGTGGGCTTAGCGTGGCCTCTCTCTATGCGAGTCACTGTCTCACTGACAACACGGGACCGCCTTGGTTGGTGACGCGGGAGATTTCCCGCCCAAAACACTACACCCGAAAACGCGTGGCGTAGGTGCACACGACCCTCCTGTTCTAGGCTGCTAGCTGATGAGTGATGAAGCCCATGGAAGCCCATCGATGCGGAGAATTTGAACCCAGGGAGAGCCCCGTTCCTTGACCATTTGACGTTAGTGGCTGCGTTCGCTGGTCTGGTTTAGACCAGCCGGCTGATCCGTCTCACAAGTTTTAGTCGCTACAGTGTTTTCTTCTCACAACAACCAGCCAGTTTTAGCTAAATTTTAAACCAGCGAATGGAGCCAGTATGTACTAACATGGCCGTGTTTGCTAAGAGCCAAACGAAAAGTATAATCCCATCATTTTATGTAGCACTGAACTCAAACTCTTTTTTTTTAATTACACAAGTACAGACACAGATGCTGAACACGTCACTCATCTCTATGAACACACGTACGTAAACCCTACCCGGCTACCCCTATAAGCACCTCAGAAAAAACTATGCCGGCACATCTTGAGATTGACGAAGTCACCACAAGCGCCTTTAATGTAGAAGTGGAACAATAATGCTACGGTAATGCTCTGAACCAGACGTCCGTCCGCCTGGACGCTCCGTTGCTGGGCTACGACGCTAGCCCAACAACCCACGCTCCTTCGTTTCTCAAAAAAACTATTTATCCACTTATTCCTATCCACTCGTTCCTCTTCCTATCGCTCTTATCCGCTCGCCTGCTGCATCCGAGCGCACGACCACTGGCCCTCTGAGGCGCACCGCTAGGCCGCTGACCTTGCTAGGCACGGCACACGGTCGCCTCCCGAGTCGCGGCGCTCAGCTACCGGCCTTGCCACGCGTAGCACGCTGCTGCCCTTTTCAAGTCACGCCGCTGCGGCCTCCCCGTTGCTTGTGCGGCCGATGCCTCCCTTCCATGACGTGCAACCATTGCCACCAGGCCACTGCCTCCGGTAAACAACGCACACCAACGAGCATCCATTCTGTCGAGCAACAAGGAGATGTTGCGTTGAAAGCATATGTAGCAAGAGTATGTTTCAATTGTTTTAGATGTATGTTGCAAGTGTTTCAAATGGATGTTGCAAAAGTAAATTGTAATATTGCACATGTTGCAATGACTGTACACGTATGTTGCAAGCGTCCGTTCCAAATGTTTCATCTTCTTTTTTAGATGTATGTTGCAAGTGTGCTTATTTGAATGTTGTATATGTTTCACACATATGTTGCAAGAGTATGTTCGAAATGTTTCAGCTGATTCAGTCTTATATTGCAATAAGTGTTTTCATGTTGCAAGCTGCAACTGTTTTATCTGGATGTTGCATATGTTTCATACACATGTTGCAAGTGTATGTTTCAAATGTTTTATCTGCTTTAGACTTATGTTGCATTTAAGTGTTTCATATTTTAGAGGTATGTTTATAGAGTCATGGGGGTACGGCCCGGGGGCCAGGGAAGGAGCGCTCAACGCACCTAGGGTCCTACGGATGGGGCGTGCTCGTCCTCATCCTAACTCCTAGGTCTCGCCCGCACGGAGAGGGAGGACGGGTGAAAGGTCCTAATATGGCTAGAGGGGGATGAATAGCCTATTTAAAAATCTACAAATCAACTAGAGCAATTTGATTAGTATGACAAATAGCGTAATGCAAACTTGCTCTAGATCTACAAGGGTTGCAAGCCACCTATCCAATAATTCTAGTTGCAATGATTACTTAGGCACACAAACTTGCTATGTAATTACCCACTAAGAGCTCTCAATCTTGCTACTCTAAAGAGCTCAACTAGATGAATGTAAATAATAAAGCAAGCTCTCAATTCTAATTACACTAAAGAGCTTGTATCTACTAGTTTGCAAGAATGTAAATAAGTGAGTAGGGTGATTATACCGACGTGTAGGGGATGAACCAATCACAAGATGAATATATATAGCCAATCACCGGGAGAATACCAAAGACAAGAGACAATCGATTTTCTCCCGAGGTTCACGTGCTTGCCAACACGCTACGTCCTCGTTGTGTCGACCACACTTGGTGGTTTGGCGGCTAAGAGGTGTTTCACAAACCTCGTCCACACGATAGGACACCGCAAGAACCGACCCACAAGTGAGGTAACTCAATGACACGAGCAATTTACTAGAGTTACCTTTTGGCACTCCGCCGGGGAAGGTACAACTCCCCTTACAATCACCGAAGATGGCCACGAACAATCACCAACTCGTGCCAATCCTCCACCGCTGCTCCAACCGTCTAGGTGGTGGCAACCACCAAGAGAAACAAGCGAAATCCGCAGCGCAACACGAATACCAAGTGCCTCTAGATGCAATCACTCAAGCAATGCACTTGGATTCTCTCCCAATCTCACAATGATGATGGATCAATGATGGAGATGAGTGGGAGAACTTTGGCTAAACTCACAAGGTTGCTATATCAATGAAAATGTGCAAGAGCATGAGCTTGAGCCGGCCATGGGGCTATAAATAGAGCCCCAATCAAATAGAGCCGTTATACCCCTTCACTGGGCAAAACGCGCTTTGACCGGACGCTCCGGTCATACAGACCGGACCCTGGACTCAGCGTCCGGTCCACTGATTCATGCCACGTGTCACTAGCTTCAAACGCTATTCGTCAGATTTCAACAGCTACGTAGTTGACCGGACGCTCCGGTAAAACTGACCGGACGCTGAAGCCCCAGCATCCGGTCGTTTCCAGTAAGCTCCCCGAGGCGTATTTCTTCGACCGGACGCGTCCGGTCCACCTTGACCGGACACAGACCAGCGTCCGGTGCAATACCCTCGGTACTTCGCAGACTCGTCAGTTTGACTGGACACACGCTGTCAGGGTCCGGTGCTTTTAGACCCAGTGTCCGGTCAGTTGATCGACGCCAGCGTCTTCGCGATCAACTCATTTTCACTTCTAACTTCTTCACCCTTGCTCCAATGTGCCAACCACAAGAATTTGCATCCGGCGTAATAGAAAATAGGCATTCCATTTTCCCGAAAGCGTCGAATCCCCAAACCCATCTCAACCCTGCAAACACCACCTCCTTTATAAATGTGCCAACACCACCAAGTGTATTACCTTGTGCACAAGTGTTAGCATATTTTCACAAACATTTTCAAGGGTGTTAGCACTCCACTAGATCCTAAATGCATATGCAATGAGTTAGAGCATCTAGTGGTACTTTGATAACCGTATTCCGATACGAGTTTCACCCCTCTTAATAGTACGTCTATCAATCCTAAATGTGATCACACTCTCTAAGTGTCTTGATCACTAAAATAAAATAGCTCATATGGTTTATACCTTTGCCTTGAGTTTTTTGTTTTTCTCTTTCTTTTTTCCAAGTCCAAGCACTTGATCATCATCATGGTATCATCATTATCATGCTATGATCTTCATTTGCTTCATCACTTGGAGTGTGCTACCTATCTCATGATCACTTGATAAACTAGGTTAGCACTTAAGGTTTTATCAATTCACCAAAACCAAACTAGAGCTTTCAACGGGGTCAGGCCTGCGCAGAGAGAGAAAAGAGGGGTCAAGGGGGAAGAAGCGGCGGGGACAAGACGGACGGGGGTAGGGTACGCATGCGTGGCAGGAAGAGGCAGATAGTGAAGGGCCGCAGCGATACGGCGAGAGTGCGGCGCATTTCTGCTGGACCGTTCGGTACTGTCCGATGGAATCCTATCCCATCGAACGTCCGGGCGCCAGGAATTCCCATAATGCTATGCTCAACTAAACTTTATATATGAACACTTTACACTTGAACTCTAGTGCAGGACATGCTCATACTGGCAATTGCGATCAACTATAAGAGCATCTCTAAGAGTACCCAATATTTTCTTCCTAAAAACATGAAGTTTTAACTCCTAAAAAAATATTGGAAGGAATAAAAAAAAGAAATCTCCAAGAGTTTCTAATAATCCACTCCTAAAATATAGAAGACAATTTTACATCAGAAATCCTATACTATTTCTAAATTATTCCAACCACTTTTATATATTCTTTCTCTCTTGTACATTTACATCAGGAACCATTTTCTACTCTTTATTCTTTCCACGCCTTTTCACCTTTAGATTGCCCGATAAACATGCGCGGAGAGAACATACGCGTGACTCGGAAGCGCGTAACTTTATGCGGAAAAGGGTGACTTTTCTCAAGCTCTAAAAGATTAGGATGATGAATTAGGAGTTGTTGGAGAGGAATTTTTTCTCATCTTACTAAGAACCAAGGATTAGGAAGGGATTGAGAGAACTCTTGAGATACTATCGTCCTAGACCTTTCGAAAAAAATA